ATAGATAGCACCATCACCATCACTAGAACATTACCAAAACACTCGGTAGGCGTGTTATAGTTGGATGATCACATGACTTGGTGCTGAAATTCACTTTGGTTTTCTGCAGGAGGAAGATCTGAACTTGGAGAATGTCTACTATTCAGAGATGAAGGATGCTGGATTCTTCGACTCCGATTGGGAATAATACCCCTAGGGTCTTCTCAAACTGTAGATACAAGGTGAATAGTATTTGTTTGAAGTCAAGCTACTGTCACTTCTTTTTAGGATCTATCCCTCACTTCTGTGTTTAGTACCAAATACTATGGAGACTCTTTGTACATTATGATATAAAAATACTTCTCTCTCGTATGCATTTGCCTAATTCGCATTTAGCATTTCGATCGTATAAAGAAGAAGCATTTCCAATATGTAAATGATAAATCATTCCATTTAATTTTGAGTTTTCTGGCACCAAATGAGAAATAAAAATCCGTGGATACAGATACTTAAAACAATTGGGACAAAGACAGACTAGCTTGACACATTAAGAAAATGACAGAATATCGAACATAACGAAAACAAACTCAAAGCCATTGGTTTTTAAGTCAAGGGGTAATTATAAAATACTAAATCACTTCTTCTCTTGCATGAGCTCTTCAATGAGTTCAGCAGCTTGCTCAACTGTTGCAATCTTCTGTGCTCTCTCTTCTGCCATTTGGATACCAAACTCTTCTTCTAAACCCATCACTATCTCAACCTGCAAACACGCTCGATTATTCAGTAATAAAGCCTTTACAAGTTCTTAATCAATGGCCACTTGTGCTGCTAATTACAGAGAGAATGGTTGATGGATATTACCGTGTCGAGAGAATCTGCTCCAAGATCGGTAAATTTGGTTTCTGCAACGACTTTTTGATCCTTTGCAAGTGATAGTTGCTTCTTCACTATCTCAGACACTTTGTCCACTGTCTCTTGTTTGGCCTATAAAACCAAATACAAAAAACAAGACTTGTCTTTTAGAACTTTGAGAGAAATAGATCAACAAATTGGAGAACGTGGTGAGAACATACCGCGCAAGAAATTGAGAGGCGAGTTGGGATTGAACGGCGCATGTTGAAGGAGAGATTAGTCCTTCCATGGTTGGAAATCAAAGCCGGCTTTTGGAAACAAATCCTCGATGTTGCCTGTTGTGTTCATCAATACAAACAAACATTTTCATTCAAATCACACCAGCAAGAAATGAAATGACTTTGTTACATATTCATTACAACAAATGGCTGTAGATCGAAAATCACAGCCTGCCACAAATTGACCCAGAAAGTTTCTGGAAAGCAACAACAATTATAAATCCAATTTTACTGATCACCAAACACAAAAAAAATTCAAATTAAAGGTCCGGAGATTTTAATCAGAAACAAAAAAAAAACCATCGTTTCGTAAATCTAAAACCTTTTAGTCACATCCTAATTAACATGCGTCGAAAAGGTTAATACTTAATACAGTAACAAACAGCAAACATCCGAATCGGAGACAAAATGATCTTGAATCGTATGATCAGAGCGATCTCTAAAACAAAAAGTTCCAAATTACA